GCAAATGCTTGGGACCCTACCACTCATGTGGGCGACCCAATGGAGTTCCGGGCTCCTGGCCTAGTCTCAGCTGTTGCAGCCATTTGTGGAGAGAACCAACAGATGGAAGACCTCTGTCTTTCCCCTCTCTTTGTAACTCTGCCCTTCAAATAAACCAATAGATCTTAAAAGAAAACAGAGAGACACAGAGATGGTCATTTGGAACATCTACTCTGTTTTCCTTCTTCCTTCAGTTGGAACCCTGAAGAATATTTGAAGATCATAGCCGTTCCTCTCCCAGGCTTGCACACAGAAACCAGATGGGGGGCACTTTTGCTCCAGGGGGCAGGCTGCACTATTTTCATTTAATCACACAAGTGTTAACCACTATAGCTATTCTGTTCCCTAGACACTGCAAAAACCGGGGGAGAAGAGGCCTCATTCAATGAGAAAAAAATGGAGATTCGTTCCACTGTTGACTCCAAGGGATACAGTCAGAAGAGACTTCTGCCAAGTGCAAACTTTCCCACCTAAATCACCAAAGCAGTGTTATTTTCTACCCAGGAGTAGAGGAGAAGAAAAAGAAAAGAAAAGAAGGAGCTAGTGTTGTGGTGCTGGGTTCAGCCCCCGCTTGGGACACCAGCACTCCATGTGAGTGCTGGTTTGAGTCCCAACTGCTCTACCCCTGCTCCAGCTCTCTGCTAATGTTCCTGGGAAAGTAGCAGAAGATCCAAGTGCTTGGGTCCCTGCCACCCATGTGAGAGACCTGGAAGGAGTTCCAGGTTCTTGGTTTTGTCCTGGTCCAGCACTGACCACTGTGGCTATTTAGAGAGTGGACCAGCAGATGGAACATCTCCCTCCCTGTCTCTCCCTCTATTTCTGTAACTCTGCCTTTGAAGTAGACAAATAAATCTTTTTTAAGAAGGAAATAAAATGAGCAAATGGCAAGCCTGCACCTAGCACGCTGGTTACTCAATCATCACCTCTGCCCCCACATAATAGGTCATTCACCTGCACAGCCATCACTTTTCTTGACTGCAATTCTACGGTTCTCGTTTTTCAACTGTATTTCACTTATTTTGAAAAGCAGAGATTTCCCATCAGCTGGTTCACTTTCTACATGCCTGCAATAGCCAGTGCTGGGAGCCAGGAACTCAATCCAGGTCTTAAACATAGGTGGTAGGGGCTCAAAACAGTTATGTCAGCACTGGCTGCCTCCCAGGGCGCACATGGGCAGGGAGCTGGAATTGGAAGGAGAACCAGGACTTGAGCCAGGCACTCTGACTGGGGATGCAGGTGCCCCAGGTGGTGTCTTACCCACAGCACCAAACCCCCACCCCATTCTGACTACTCCTGTTTCACCCATTATAACAATTGAAAATCACTCTCCAAATATCTAATTGTTTTTAACTTATGTATTAATTCCCCAACACCCATAAATAAAGAGTTGTGTTCCCAAGAGCTCAGTGGTGAGGTTTGCAGACTCTTCCCCTCTGCTAAGGTCAGACCAACGTCAGGCAGGAGCGTAGACAAACACTAGAAACACAACCTTCCCCAGGAAAAAGCCACAGAGTGCGGGCCCTCAGTGTCCCCTTCTTCTGCGTCTACAGGGCCAGCCAACCACAGATCAAGATATTCAGAAAGAAAAATTCAAGCAGCAAAACTTGAATTCACCACACGCCGAGCCACACACTGCTGAGGACACACGAATGAAGGAGCCCGCCCTGCCGTGGCCTCTGTGGCCACGTCACACCTTCTCAGTCTCTTCAGCATTGCTCATTTGGGTGTCATTCAGTGCTACGTGGTTAGGCATAGGATGCCTGTGTCTATCCTACTCAGGTAGACTTTTTTTTCTCTCACTGTTATTTGCTAAACAACATAGCAAAAGCTATTATTTAAACAGCATATACATTGTGTTAGGCATTAAAGCAATCTGGAGATGACTTAAAGTGAACGGGAAGAAGTATGCAGGTTACGTCAGATATTTTGCTGGTTTATATAAGAGACTAGAGCACTGATGTTTGGAGCCCATCCCCCACAGACACAGAGGGACAACCACACCGCTGTCTTTAGGAATCCGCACCCACAAACTCCATACCCTGCAAATCCGGCTTCAACCTGATCACTCCATCTTAAGGCTCCACGTTGCTCGCTCTCTCTTCATATTTCACAGAAGGGTACACAATTCAAAAACCAGTAGAGGGGCCAGTGCTGTGGTGTAAGCATCCCATATGGGCTCCAGTCCAAATCTGGCTGCTCCACTTCGGATCCAGCTCTCTGCTATGCCCTGGGAAAGCAGTGGAAGATGGCCCAAGTCCTCGTGCCTCTGAGCCAGCATGGGAGGCCCTGAAGAGGCTCCTGGCTCCTGGCTTCAGATCAGCACAGCTCTGGCAGTTGTCATCTGGGGAGTGAACCAGTGATGGAAGACCTCTCTCTGCTTCTGCCTCTACCTCCTGTAACTCTGCCTTTCAAATAAGTGAATAAATGTTTAAAAGATGATAAACTAAATAAGTGTCTAACAGATGTAACACCTAAACAGAGAGCCAGAAATAAGGAACACCAAGGAAGTAAAAAAAATAAAGAATAAGAAATAATTTTTAGAAAGAGAAAAGATCATTCCTGCAAAAATGAAAGACATGAATAAAAAAGGACCCACAGCAGAGCAACATGCATAAAATTTCAAAATATAGAGGGAGTCTTACAATTAACTGATATGGAAAAGTCACATACAAAGGTCTAACAGCAGAAACAGCACAGACTTCTTAACACTAGATGTGATGGAATAACAGAGTAACGACTTTAAAATTGGGTGTTAGTGGTAGCTTTTATCTTAGTATTTTTATGCCATCTAAATTATTAGTCAAGATACACTGACACATGTACAGGATTCAAAAAAATTTACCTCTGTGTACCCTTTCCACAAAAGCTACTGGATGAGGTACTCTAACAAAAATGCAGAATAAAATCCAAGAAAACAAAGACTGAACATGGAACAAGAGTGAACAGAAGTCTCAAGACAGCAGCTACCCAGCAGGCTCAGAGACTAACTTCTCCAGCTTGTCGCATGAGCAGGCTTCAGAAAATTTATGGACAGGGCAGACAGTGGCAATGATGTGTTTGAGTATACAGAAAATACATTACATGCTTGACAAAGACATTAGAGGGTAAAACAAAAAACAGCAACAAATACTAGTCAAATTCAAAGACAATGTGGTTATCAACTCCAGGAAAAACAAAGGGCTATGAGGGAAAGGAGCCATAGCCATATTTCATTACCAGCTCAGCAGTGAAAATTATTTGTTTGCATCATAATATTATAAACCTTGGTGATTGAGTTGACAAAATATTGTCAAATATCTTTACTAAGGGGTTAGACAGAAAGGAATTATGTGGCGATTGAAAGAGCTAACGTATTTACCCTTAACTCATTAAATGAAAAAAAAAGTAGTAAATGCATATTTAAGAATACAAGAGAAAATATCAGGGAAAAAGCCAGAAGTATTGTTGTATAAAAATATATAAATATTATCATATACAAATATGATATATAAAATCCCTAGGGCGGAGCTGAGGCGTGGGGAAGGGCACTAGTTTGTCTTTATAACCCTTACCATACTTGTTGTACTGTGTTAGATCAACGTAAAGTAAATTTCAATAACTAAAATTAAAATTTAAAAATCTCTATGGTTGCAAGATGCAATTCAGACAGGAGGCTATAAAAATAGAGTGCAAACAGATAACTAACCTCAAAGCAAATGATCATAAAACTTCCTAGTTACCGAAATCTTTCACATTCATAAAAGCACGCTTTCTTCTCCCATTATAATTTACCACTTCAAAACTCCAAAGTCTTTTACCACCATTGCTTTGATGTATCAAATAGATTCCAAAACATCTGATGGATCTTTTAATTCCTCTGATTTGTCACAGGAACAAATGGAAGGCACTTTTTTCGCTAATATTTGCATAGCTGATCAAAACCTTAAACTCTCTACTTTTTTGCTTTTGGCCATTGAAGTCTACATTAACTGCTTTGGTCTAATCAGGTTAATATCCAAGGATGTTGCTTCTTTTTTAAAAAATTATTTATTTATTTTGAAAGACAGAATTACAGAGAGGCAGAGGCAGTGAGGCAGTGAGAGAGAGAGAGAAAGAGAGAAAGAGAGAGAGAGAGAGAGGTTTTCCATCTGCTGGTTCACTCCCCAGATGGCTGCAATGTCTGGAGCTGTGCCAATTAGAAGCCAGGAGCCAGAAGCTTCTTCCAGGTCTCCCATGTGGGTGCAGAGGCCCAAGGACTTGGGCCATCTTCTACTGTTTTCTCAGGCCATAGCAGAGAGCTGGATTGGAAGAGGAGCAGCCAGGATGGGAACCAATACCCATATGGGATGCCAACACTGCAGGTGGCGGCTTTACACACTATGCCACAGCGCTGGCCCTAGCCAGGGTGTTTTTTTTTTTTTTTACTAATATTTATATACTTAATAAGTATCCAAGGTACAACATTGTTTCTTCCAATAAAGGTAATTCTTTTGAGAGACAGAATTGGCTTCATGTTTTTTTTTTAAGGCTTAAAGATGAATAGAATACATGAGAGTACTTCAAATAGTTCATAGAAACATATAATTAGACAATAAGTTAATTTCAGTTCAAAAATATCTGAAATAGTTTTTTCGTGATACACATTTTCCTCAAGCTTTTTGGAGACCACTTATTTTCTCCAGTTCTAAATCTATAAAATTCTAATTAAAAGTATTTCCAACACTTTCATATTTTCCTTGGAAGTTTGGACTTTATCTGAAACAAGCAGCACATGCCATTAGTTTTAAGTCTGCCTGAACTGGGCATGTTTCAGGTTAGACATAAAGAAGCTCGTCTGTTCACACGCATGCACTCATGGATAGTGACGGCTGACAGCAGACACGTAATCAACCCCGTTTATCGTGGTTTAGCTTTAAGAGTAGACAAATTGATTTAATAAAAATCAATGCAAACACAGCATTAAGGAAAAGTGATTTGTTTACCTCCGTTGGCTTGTAGCAGTCTACAAGAGCTTCCTAGAATTAAACACACAGAAAGTCAGTTTAAATGTTTTAAAACTCAGTTTCAATTTCCAAGTAAAACTGAAAACCATTCATCTTCGTGGTATTCCTTTTCCAGCAGTAAATCACGAATTGTTATTGACCTTCAGGAATCACACTTTATGTCAGCACCAGCCGGTCACCCGAAGACACAAAAATGCCCTCAGTTTGCAGAAATGCTTTGTTCTCCAGTGCGCCACACAGGCACATGCATACACACACTCATGCTCGCTCGCTAGCTCTCCCTCTCTCTTTCTCTCTCTCTCTCTCTCTACACACACACACACACACACACACACTAGAGCGAGGGTTTTTTTTTTTTTTAATCAGAGAATATTTCCATAGGGCTGAAGATCAGCTAGAACCCTGGACGAGGACACGATCACCCCACTGCGGAACACGCTTACTTACCTGAAGGTCTCTGCTAGGCTGTGGACTGCAGGGAGCCGTGGTCCGACTCAGTGGTCGCAACCCCAGCACAGCCTCCAGCAGGAACTGGGGTCTCAGCCCACCCCGTCAATGCAACCCACAGGGATCCAAACAGTTTCACACCAACCACCTGCTCAGTGACTTTCTGCCTCTGTATACACACACACACACACACACACACACACACGAGCACACACACTCCTTTCCTTCCTTGGTTAATACGGAGCTGGACGTACTGAGAGCTGAGATAGGCTGGTAAGATGGTGACAATCGCACTGGTCACAGACTGCAAGGGGTTCGACCATGATTTAGCCACAGGCCAGCTTGGAACACAGCCTTCACAGGCCCCAGTGCTCTCAACTGGGAACCCAGCGAGTGACCTGAGTACAAAGCCCCTTTCAAGGTCTCTATTTTTAGGGGAAAAAAAAGTGTATATATTAGTATATTTTCTATAGAATTGGTACCTGCTTTACTTTTTAAAATTTTTTTTAGCTTTTAGGACTAGACTGCTATTGTCTCCCATCTAAATCAACCAATATGAAATAAACATTACAATTGAGGCTGGCCACCACTCAGGGGACAGCAGTAATTATTAACACATTAAAAACATTAATCATTCAACAGTGTCCTTTAAACGCTCGGTGACCCTTTGCCACTGGTCCTACCCAGCCAGCCATTAACAGTCATTATTGGTGAACATGAAGAATGATGACAATCAAAGGTTAATTGCTTTAAGAAACTCCCAGATGCAGAGTTTTAAGTGATAGATGCGTCCACCTGTGGGAGGGAAGTATTTTATTGCTGTCTGCTAAGGAGACACGAAGCATTCACAGCTTCTATTGCTGCACCAGGGTGCTGGCAGATGAGAACGGTGTATGAGGACATATTTGATCACAGAATTTTACCTAGAAATTAAATCCACACCTGTGAGACCAGAACCCTGGGCATGGAGACCCCAGTTCCGGCTCGGGCCCTCTCCTTCCCAGATAACTATGGGGCACTACTGCTCGCCCAAGAAAATGAGGCAGGAGACTGTCAGAGCCAGGAGATGCTTGGAGAGCTAATGGCAACAAGAGCTGCTTTGCCATCAGAGAGCAGTGCATGGCCGTGAGAAGCACCTGCAGTGGTTTGGATGTGGTCGGAGCCTGTCTGCCAAGGATCTGCGCAGTGAAAGCTTCGTCCTCGGGGTGGCGATGCTGGCAGGTGGGACCTTTATGAGGTGGGGCCTAGGGGGAGGTCCTTAGGCCACAAAGGGGTACTGCTCTCAGGGGGATTGTTGAAACTCTGCCTCTGGGCTGGCGCAGTGGACAGTAGGTTAGGCCTCTGCCCCTGGCATCCCATTTGATTGCCGGTTTGAGTCCCAGCTGCTCCACTTCCGATCCAGCTCTCTGCGATGGCCTGGGAAAGCAGTGGAACATGGCCCAAGCCCTTGAGCCCCTGCACCCACGTGGGAGACCCGGAGGAAGCTCCTCTGTCCTGGCTTCGGATCGGCTCAGCTCTGGCCATTGCAGCCATCTGGGGAGTGAACCAGTGGATGGAAGACCTCTCTCTCTCTCTCTCTCTCTGTATCCCCCTCTCTCTGTAACTCTGCCTCTCAAATAAATTAACTAATTTAAAACAAAAAGCCCAGCTCTGCGGCTTCCTGTTTAAAGCTGTGATCTCTCCCTCCTGCACGTGCTCCTGCCCTCTGCCATGGAGTCCTCCCCAGAGCCAAGTCAGGCCAGTGCCTTACTCTTGAATTTCCAGAGCGCTGGGCTAAATCAACCTCTTTTCTCTGTAAGGCTATCCTCCCTCAGGCATTTCATTGTAGTCTTTTTTATTTATTTATTTTTTTGACAGGTAGAGTGGATAGTGAGAGAGAGAGACAGAGAGAAAGGTCTTCCTTTTGCCGTTGGTTCACCTTCCAATGGTCACCATGACTGGCGCACTGCAGCCAGCATACCACGCTGATCTGAAGGCAGGAGCCAGGTGCTTCTCCTGGTCTCCCATGGGGTGCAGGGCCTAAGCACTTGGGACATCCTCCACTGCCTTCCCGGGCCACAGCAGAGAGCTGGCCTGGAAGAGGGGCAACTGGGAAAGAATCCGGCGCCTCGACCAGGACCAGAACCCGGTGTGCCTGCGCCGCTAGGTGGAGGATTAGTCTAGTGAGCTGCGGTGCTGTCCTCATTATAGTCTTGAAAATGGACTAATACGGCCCCACACTGGTTTCCTCTCTGCAAATGGCCAAGGCCCAAGTCCCAGAACCAACACTGTCACAGCTGCAGAATTGGTTCGGGCCAAGGCCTTGGAGAGTCAAGTGCATTTAAGCACCCATGATCAGAAGCTTCTAGATTTTGGAAGCTGCTTACCTGTAATTTTGAAGCTCTCTCTTCCTCACTGTCTGCATCAAGAAGATCGTCAATGTCAATTTCTACATCTGGCATTTCTTCTTCCTGGGTGGCAAAAATGAAGGCATTTTACTTAGGGAGAAACTGTACCAAACCAGCTTAGCTGAGTTGAAAGAACACTACGTGATCAATCGAGAGGGCAGGACAGGAAAGAAGGGGGCAGTGGAGGATGGAGGAAGAGGAGGGGGAACAAGAGAGGAAGGGACACAGGAGAGAAGGACAAGGAGGGCAGACGGGAGAAGGGGAGGGGGAATGGGGAGAGGAACATCTGACAACGCAGTAAAAAGGAGTATTTCAAAAATGGTAGTCATCTACTTCGTAGCAGAAAATGGCACCTGTAAATATCAGTAGGGTGTTGGCAGATTACAGAAAGAGTAGAGAAAGTTCTGTTTCCTACCCAAGGTCTACTCTTTACTTTGTGACTACCCTCATCTGTACACAGGGTCCGCACACCCCAGGGCTGTGGGCACCAGCATCACCCAGCCCCAGTCACTGACTCAAGAGAGGACAGCACGTGGTCCCCCACCAGGTGAGCCGCAAGGGGGCTCTGAGAAGAGAGGCTCCTTCAACAAATGCATGCCCCTCCCTCTCCCTCCCCAGGAGCACACTGAGGGCGCTCAGGCTAGGGGATTGCTGGCGGCCCCATGCAACCGTGAGGATAAGTTATGTTAGGATGACGTTGACCCCACACTGGGCAGAGCACGGAGGAGAAAATAGGGTCTGGAAGAAGCCACGAGGTCACCACCTCCCCATGAGTGACAAACCCTTGTATTGTCTCAGCCAGTGTGGGTGGGGTTCCATACTCCTGCAACCAAGGCCATTCAGTGCAGGCGAGAGGGCAGGAAAGGCCAGGTGAAATCCGAACTTCCAACCAAAGGGAGAGTTTGGTTACCTCTCGTCTCGTCTGTTAGCGAAGGCTTCTCGCTATCTCTCAGAATGGCATCTTAAAAATGTCAAAATAGCATTTAAGAGAGCATGGGAATGTCGCATTTCATCTTGCCATTGGGAGTCACCCAATTGCTCTCAGCCACAGGGATGGCTGCAGGGTGTGCAGGGGCTCAAGAGAGAGCTGTGCATGGGGACGCCCGGCAGCCACCTGGGCTGAGCCACTTGGTGTACCTGGCCTCATCTTCACTTCCCAGGCCAGGCTGACTCTCTGTGTGTGTGTGCACGTGTGTGTGTGTGTGTGCTGGAGAAACAGAGATATGACCCACTACTTTCAGGAAGACCAGCTCCAAAGGGTATCCCCAGGGGCAGGAAGGTTCCAGAACCCACTCCCCATGAGCCCCTAGCGATCGATCCCTGCTCCTGGGCAGAGTTTCTGATCTGATCCTTCGCTTGGGTGTTTTTAGCAATGTGAAGGCTTCAGGGTCATCTGCCAAGTTCTGCCCAACAGAAGAGAGGTTTGCTATTCTTCAACACCATTTCCACATCTGGACTGAAAGACCATCTGCCTGTTAACAAATGTGGATGATCTAGAAACAGGGAGTTTAAGCGTTCTAATGAGAGTACAGCTACAGGGTGATTTTTGTTCTGCTACAAACACGGGTTCCGGCGCCAAGCAGCCCGGGGCCAAGGCCAGCTCTGCCATCAGTGCGCTGTGTGACTCCAGGCACTTTCCTTAACCTCTCTGGCCCCAGTTTCCTCACCTATAAAAACAAGATAGTAGAGGCAGGTGTTCCACCTGGAGGGTAACCCACCTGGGGCCAGTGTTGTAGCCGAGTGAGTTAAGCCGCTGCCTAAGACACCTCTATGCTAGGTTGTTGAGCACTGGGTGCTCCACTTCTGATCCAGCTTCCTGCCAGTGTGCCTGGAAAGGCAGCGGAAGACGCCCCTAGTACTTGGGCCCCTGCCACCCATATGGGAGGCCCGGATGCAGTTCCTGGTTCCTGGCTTCAGCCTGGCCCAGACCTGGTTATTATGGCCACTGGGGAGGGAACCAGTTGACGAATGATCTTTCTCTCTCTCTCTCTTTCTCTCTGTCTCTCCCTCTCTGTCACTATGCCTTCCCAATAAATAAATAATTAATTAAAACCAATTTTCAAAATAATTTTTTTAAATTGCATCCCACATCCGAGTACTTGGGCTAGATCTCCAGCTTGGGCCCTTAACTCCTGCTTCTGCTAACAGGGGTGATGGCTTAAGTATCTGGGTTCCTGCCACCCATGTGGGGAGGGGGCCTAAGTTGAGCTTCCAGTCCCATCGTCTGCTCTGGCCTATGCCAGCCATTGCAGGCATTTAGGGAGTGAACCGGCAGATAGGCACTCTTGCCGTCTGTCTGTCTTTCTCTCTGTGTGTATCCCTCTTGGTCCCTCTGCCTCTCAATAAATAAATAAATATTTTAAATGGAATCGCAGATATCAACTACCTCATAGGGCTTGTGTGTGGGTTAAACTAGTTAACTGATATCAAGTTCTCAGAGTAGCACCTAGCACATGGCTAAGACTTCTTGAGCACCGATTACTATTTCTATAACATTGTTCTAACAACGTGGCTTATAAAACAGAAAGAAAACTAAATATTAAGTAGTGGGGCAAGTCTAACACCTTTAGTCTGATGAGAATCAACACCCTAAAAAATTATAATACTAACAAGAGGCAGGAGGGGAAATAATCCTTCAGAAAATTCTAAAGAGCTAAGAACCAGGGGCAATGGCTTCTTGCAGAAAAGGACAGCAACGAGAATAAAATGCAAAGGTGATGGCCTGGCTGGCCAGGGCGTTGGCAGAGCTGTTCGGGTGGGAATGTGTTCTGGCTATGAGAACAGCCACAGCTGCCTTGCCCTGGGAACTGGATCCGTGTGGGCCAATGAGCACAGGCGTGGCCAGCATCACTGCACTCTCATTGGATGTTGCTGGGTTGCTGTGGCTTTGCCCTCTCTCACCAAATCCCTCCACCCCACCTTCTATGCAGCAGGACAGACCCTCCGACAGGCCCAGAGCAGCTGCTGCTGCCGACCAGAGGCCATGTAAGCCCCTTCAGGGCAGGGCAGGGCAGGGGGTGGACCCCTGTGCTCTGGCAGTCCCAAGGCTGGGAAACCCACAGGGAACGGGGGTGCGACTTTGCTCTCTCGGCCCCAACCTCCCTGGCCAGCACCACCTGCTCCTCTTGCCTGCGGGCTCTGTGTGCCCAACCTCTTCATTTCGGGGACATCTGAAATCACCTCTGCGAGCAAGATCGGTGGGGGAGCAGGGGAGCCATTAGATCCATGAACGAGAGCAGCAGGCAGGGCTGCTCCAAAGTGTAGCTCCAAAGAAATGAGCGTGGCTTTCAAGGGTTTGCCAGACTTTACGTGGTGAAAGGCTCTGTGGGGACCCAAAACAGCTGCAAAGAGAGCCATCAGCAGGAACACAGCGTGCCGGGGAGGCCCCAGGCCAGGGAGATCACCCACAGGGCCTCCCCCCCGCCAAGGGGTGTGGCTGGCCCCCCAGGGGCTCAGTGTATATACTGCATACATGTTCTGGAAAATGCAGACTTATTCAGCTACATCACAGCACGGGGTGGCTTCAATAACTACCATATAAGGCCAAAACAGCACAGCCAGTTTCAGCTGACTGTTCACGCAGAATCAAGCGAGAGATCAATGCACAAGAAACAACCCGTGGAGGGGTCTGCACAGCCTCCCCTCCGTGATTCCCCACTCCTACCCAACTGTCCTTTGCGTTCAGTGTGGAAACACAGAATATGTTTCTGTGATGGGCTACGACATCAAACAAGGGAAGCCGGATATAGAAAATGTGTGCAAGAAGTCACGGCCAAGGGTAGGCTGATGTCTGCTATCCTCACAGGAAATAAAGAACAATAAGTAAACGACGCCATTCTCAAACCCGCACAGCCGTGGGTTTCCCTGCAAACATCGTGCAAACAGTTCCAAAGCCTCAGCCACACACAGTCTCAAGGGCTCTGGCTTACATAGCCATAGAGAGCCCCACCCCATGTAGGAGGCATTTCCAGCAAGGCATCCTCTCATTAGGATTACACACGGGGGCTGGCACTGTGGCATAGAGGGTAAAGTTGCCACCTGCAGGGCCAGCATCCCATATGGGTGCCGGTTCAAGTCCTGCCTGCTCCACTTTTGGTCCAGCTCTCTGCCACAGCCTGGGAAAGCAGTAGAAGATGGCCCAAGTCCTTGGGCCCCTGCATCCACGTGGGAGACATGGAAGAAGCTCCTGGCTTCGGATCAGCTCAACTCTGGCCATTATGGCCAACTGGGGAGTGAATCAGCAGATGGAAGACCTCTCTCTCTCTCTCTCCCTCTCTCTCTCTCTCTCTCTCTCTCTCTCTCATTCTCTGCTCTGCCTCTCTGTAACTCTGCCTTTCAGATAAATAAATCAATCTTTAAAAAAAAAAAAAAAGGATTACACATGGCTCTCTGTCACGTATTACATTTGACCCATTCTCCCCAGCCCTCGGATCTGGATTGCTCCACGTGGTAACCACACCTGGGATCTCAATACAAATTCAGTAAGAAGCAGGACAAAGAAGAATCCAGTTCTTCATTCACAAGAATGGCATTTCAAGCGCTCAGTAGCTACCTGTGGTGAGTGCTACTGTGCTGGACAGTACATGGCATTCCTGTGGGAAGTTCATCAGACAGCACTGCCCAAGAAGTCACTTGCCCTCTGGCCTGGAAGTCGGGGGGGCAAAGCCCCTTCCCCTTTCAAGGGGCTTCACAGGAGTAAAGGAAATGCCTGTCACCTTGAGGTCACTCCCACCATCCAAGGGCACGTGGCTGGGAAGGCCTGGGCTTGGTCTTCCGTGTGGGAAAGCAGATGCAAGCCACGTGCTCACCGAGCAATCATGAAGCTCATTAGGCACTGGCACTGTCTACCAATCCATCCAGCTCTCCTCTCCCCCACCCAGATTCATCAGAAACACAGGAAGAGCCCGGGCTCAGCCTGCAAGCGAGGAACACGGGGCCAGGGTGTTGTGAACGCTGGCAATGCCGAATCACTGGCATCCTCGTCTCTTCTACATGTCAGTGTCACTGCATAACCTTAGTGACAGATCAGTCTCCTACAAGGGAGCGGACACGCCCAGAGCCAC